ATATATATATATATATATATATATATAAACTTTCCAATAAATTAATCATTATTAACTGATAATCATGGGACCAAACACACGTATCATGGAGTGTTCCTTTTTCTTTTTGTCATTTTTCCTCAATCAAAAAATAATAATACTCTGGCAGAAAAGTCCTCTGCATAAAACTACGAGAGTCAGGATCCTGACAATATTTCTGAAAAAGAGAGGTACTTGCACGATTCTTACATTTACAATCTACCCAGTCCTATATGCCTACACCCTATACAAACGTAGAGATTATCTTGCATCAAAATCGAATGAAGTTGTCCAAACTGGAAGAATTCTTTTCTGTTTGGAGGACTTGATCATTGACATTTGACAATATAAAAGAAAAAAAAATGGGACTTGTATACCAACAAGAAAAAGATTTATATTCCTTTCCGAACAGCAATAAGTAGTACCATAAAAATAGGAGAAACAAGAAAAAGAATATATGGCAAAACCTGATTCATTGCACTTTCTTTAACCGGGGTATCTTCTTCGAGGTAGTTAGATTTCTTTTCTACAAATGCATCAAAATAATTCTGGTAGCCTGTGTTCTTTAAATAAAATGGAGATCCTGTTTTCACCTTCATCATTTCCATAGCCTGCCAGAATTTGTAATAAGCCATGAATGCAAAGATAAAAAGAAACAAATGCCTTTTTTTTTTTTAGTGACTAGCCGTGGCAAATAAGTGAGGTGGGCATAAAATAAATTTACAAATATAACAGATTGATATTTGCTAATAATCTTAAATGCATGGGAAACATGATACACTAGAGTGTTTTAAACACTAGACTAAGTACATTTCTTTTAATTTCAGGTTACACTGTTATCTAGCAAATCATTTTGCTGAAAGACCTAAACACATTGCTCACCAGAAATTACCTGAAAGCTGTACGTGAACTGTCTTGCTTTCTTGCTTACTTTAGCATTTGGGTCAGAACGGACCGTTCTGCTTGGAGAACAGCCTGTTCTGCTAGCAGAACGGCCCGTTCTTCATGGAGAACAGGCCGTTCTCCAAGCAGAACGGGACGTTCTCTAAGGAGAACGGGTCGTTCTGCTTGCACTCGTTTTTCTTTTTTTTTTTTTTAAATTTTCATGACTTTTTTACGTCGGACCTTGGCATGTCCGACGTAAATTTACGTCGATTTTTGGCCCCCGACGTAAATTTTACGTCTCCCGTATTGATGTCTGATGCTTTTCCGACGTAAAAGGCTTCAAATACCCGACGTAAAAGGGGTCTTTTGTACTAGTGATTTGATAGTTGAATTGTTAAAATTTGATGTAAAAAATGAGTTATTAAATAAAGTAAGTTTAAGTAGACTTAGTCTAAAAACAAGTGAATCTCTCATCTCTCTGTATATAAAGAGAGAAAGAGAGAGGAAGTTGTTTGCTTATTCCAAGAGTAAATTTTAATAAAATTACTTTATTTAATAATTCATGATTTACATTAAATTTCAACAATCTAACAATTGAATTAAATAAATAGATTAAGTCTACAAAATTTTATAAAGTTTAAAAATTATATAATTTTTGTTAAATAAATTCAAATCAAGATATAATATATTTTTAAGAATATACGTTCATTTGATTTAATATAATGAAATATAAAATATTTTTAAATTTTGTAAAAATTGCAAACATTTGTGTCTATCTCCTCATGTCACTCTCATCCACTTATGGGATAGAAGAATACTATAAGAAACAAATACACATACATATGTTAAAGTTCATTTGCTAATTCCTTTTGCCACCTTTACAACCAATTTTCTATATCAAATTTTTGTTATTTTTATTTTTAATTCTTTCAAATTATCTCAATAAAACATGATAGAAAAGAAGAGGACTCAATTAAAATAAAACATTTATGTAGCAAAAACATGATAGAAGACATGATTCTACTAACTAAAATAATTAAGAAACTAAATTTAATAGTAAAAAATATGTATTAAAGAATCACGCATTGATCTCATAATAGAAGCATAAATTAAGAAAATATAAATAAAAAAATAAATGGAATATGTCTTAAAAAAATTAAACTGATATTTGCATTATTTTTTCATGAATTTCATACTATTTTAAACTTCATAGGAAAGTTAATCCGTGAAAACAAATCAGTCATATGTGGGTGTTGTTTTAATTGTTTGTGTGTGTAGGCAAATTTTTTTCTACACTCATTCTTCCTTTGCGTATTAGAGTATCTTACGGCTACCTTCCACTAAAATCATGATAAATAGGTGTCATCTTGTTTAATTAACGAAGCACTCTAATTTCTAATGATTTCAATGTTCTTACAAGAAAAAGAAAAAAGATATGGATGCCATCTTTATCAGAAAAATCATTTTAAAAACATTAGATAATCGTTCCAGTCTTTTCCATACAAAAAGGTGATCTTCTATATATGAGCCAATGTGAATATATATATATATATATATATA